ATTTCACCGCGAGAAACCAGTAGCAAGGATCTCTAATGCAACAAAATATCGAGACGCCCAGATGCGACGAGAAACGAGCGACACATTACGAGTATACGCATAATTCAACATTTAACGCGGCGCGCGCGCGTGCACTCCCGTGCGGAATAATTCGCGAAACCCACCGTGGCTTTCACCGATACCCAACTACACGATCGAACGCACGGCGAAACGATTCCGAGCGTGGAAAAACGAACAAAGCGAGCCGCCCGCCACAGTCGCAGTCGCCGAACGAGAGCGAGGAAATCCTCAAAAGAGTGTTTCGCTCGAGCGAAACGAGTTTCCGCGCTGGAAGAACTTGGAGCGCGTTGCTGCTGCGGGGGCTCTTTTTCTCGCGGTCGTCTCGTCGTAATAAGAGCCGAGAAGCTTAAAAGCGATTTCTCGTTAGCGCGTCTCTAATTGGCCGACCTGATTCGATTCTAATCGCCGCGGAATCGCAGAACGAATCCAAGCAGCGCGCGATCTTACGTGTATCTCTCGCGGTGAAGAGATACAATAATATTAGGTGCGCACCTAAGTTTCTGGGTTTTTTTGATCGATGAAAAATGGAAAATTTCAAGAGAAATACAAAAAATGGTTTATTCAAAGTATCGTCCCTCGCTAGCTACACGTTTTTGCCATCTCTCTGGCAATACATGAATACCGCGACGATAAAACGACGCGTCTTTGGACCGAAACCATTCGTCCAACCAATTTTGCACTTGTTCGAAATTGGCCAAGTGTTGGCCAGCCAAGCCATGCGCCATCGACCGAAACAAGTGATAATCGGAAGGGGCCAGGTCTGGCGAATACGGCGGGTGCGGTAGCAGATCCCATTTCAGCGTTTCGATGGTGTCCTGGACGATGAAAGTGCGATGGCACGGAGCGTTGTCGCGCTGCAGTATCACACGTTCCATTCTAGCCGTTTTTCGAGCAATGCATGGTTCAAATTGATCAGTTGTTGTCGGTAGCGATGCCCATTGACAGTTTCGCCCGGCTTCCTTTCAGCAGCTCATAGTACACGATTCCTTTCTGGTCCCACCAAACGCAGAGCATTGTCTTCTTTCCGAAGCGATCTGGCCGTGCCGTCGACGTTGATGCTTCGCCAGGTGAAAGCCACGATTTTTTGCGTTTGGGATTCTCGAATATTTATATCCACTTCTCATCGTCAGTAACAATTCGATGCAGGAAACTCTTTCTTTCATGCCGCGAAAGCAAAATTTCGGAAGTGGCTCTTCGATTTTCCATCTGTCTCTCTCAGTCAACTCATGCGGCACCCATTTTCCTTCCTTTTGAATTTTTCCCATGGCATGTAAATATGTTTGGAAATATCTTGACGAGTCATGTTTAATGCCACTCGGCAAGTTGATCTTGTGTTTGCGAATCATCTTCATCCAATAACGCTCGCAGATCGGCGTCCTCCGGCTTGTTTTTGGTCTTCCGGAGCGCTCCTTGTCCTCAGTGTCGAAATCGCCACTTCTGAAGCCACTTTCAAACCAATCTTCACAGGTAGTTTTCGACGGTGCATGTTCGCCGTAGGCCTCCTCAAGCAAACGACGTGCTTCAGCTGCACTTTTTTTCAAGTTAAAGCAGAAAAGCAAAGCTTCCCGCAAATGCTGTTTATTTGGCGCGAAACTCGATATCTTGGTTGTTAGAAAAAATATTTTTGCGTTGCGATATGTTTTGGTATTACGACTGATTATTGTTAACAGATGTCCAAGCTATAAAAAAAAACACAACTTCAGACATGTATGTCGACTACATGTGTCGTTAGCGCCATCCATGTGTGAAACCCGGAAACTTAGTTGCGCACCTAGTAAAATAATATTCATCCGTCGCGCGCACGCGAGGAATTACGCTCGGAGACGCGTAAGAGATGAACGCTCGTGAACGCGGCCGTGCGATAAAAGACAGAAATTTCGCACGTTGTAACAACGATCGCGGTGAACGAGCGAGGAGGTCGGCGCGATTGAAAGTGGCAAGGTGCGATTAATATCTCTCTCTCTCTCTCTCTCTCTCTCTCTCTCTCTCTCTCTCTCTCTCTCTCTCTCTCTCTCTCTCGCGGTGGAGAGATATGAAATAATATCCAACGGACGCATAAAAATTCGCACGAACGGCCGCGAGAAATCAACGATCGTGCCCGTGCGATCAAAGGCGCGGCAGAAATTTCGCACGGAGAGAATGAATGAATTGCCAAGGCTGTACACGATGTACACGATCAATCGACCAGACGAAAAGAAAGCAATAGGAGCCGAAAGTGGAAAGGAGTAGGATGTAAATTGCGCAATTTGCATCTTACGTGTCGGCTCTTATTGGCTTCCATCGACTCTCCGCCGTTTGATCGGATATTTCGCACGTCGTAAAGACAACCGATGTTCTCGCGCTCTGTACAACAAACCTGTGATAACAAAGGTACACGTGCATTTGTTCCGGGAAGAAAATCGACCGAAATCTGCAACGTGGCAGAATCTCCTGATAAACCATATCAAAGTACAATTTTATCCAAGTATTGGTATTGCGATCTGCGTTGTGTCGCAGGTATTATTAGTGTCCAATCGCGTGAGTAGTAGTAGTAGATATGGATACACGCTGTTTTCAAGAGAATAGTGTTTCTCCTCGAAACACAACGTAAGGCTTCGGGATAATCATATTTCGGGATTCGCCTCTCGGTACACCGGGATTGACGATTTTCCGGAGAACCTGCTCCACTTTCCAGATTCCAAGATGCTGATTTTTCCGGACAATGCATGTCGGCGCGCGACCACGCTTCGCGGAAAGCGAGAGAGCGAGAGAGCGCCGATCGCACGATCGCTGGCGCGGCGCTGGAGACTCGCAGCTCGATGTGCAACGACGACGAGAACAGCGTTCTGCGCCGATGTGCGCAGGCGAGAGGCGGTCTGTCGCGAGATAGACATCGGCAAGAGTTCGAATGTTTACTGCGCGCGATTCGCGAGCGCGATAAACTCCGCGCGCGCTCTCCGGAGTCGAAATGTTTCTTTCGCTGTCTTGTTCCCCGGACCTCGGACCTCGGACGCGTGCTGCTGCTGCTGCTGCAGCAACTCTCCTGCGCCGTAAAACCTCTTCAATGAATCTTTAATACAAGACGCGCGACGGCTCGACCGGCCGCAACAATGAGCGCGACTCCCTCCGCCGCGCCGCCGCGCCGCCGTCGCGCCCCATCGTCGTCGTCGTCGACTGGGCGACGTCAATTTATTGCCGCCGCGTTACCGAAGGGCACTGACTGCGCCGCCAGGTCCCCGCGTGTTCGGGGATGCTGTGCGCCCTATAGCGCAGCTTCTCGGCAGGCGCCGAGCGCATTGACACGACGCGCGCCGGTCACGCCTGCGGTCCGCGAGGCTTGTCGAATCCTTCACGCACCTCGACGCCCCGGGATAAAGTCACGCGATTAATCGTCGAACGACGAACAGGCTGCTCCGGGAAGGCTCTGTCGCCGCTTCGTCTCCAAGTCTCGACGCGTCGACACGTCCCCGACACGGGGGGAACGTGTGGAGTTTGGGGTTCAGGATTCGCCAGCGAAATCGATCGCGATGATATACATAACTGGAGAATAGTAAACATTAAACATATATTTGACCGAAATGATGACCGCGTACCGAAAGATCGACGACTTCGAGTTTGATAATCGCGACCCAAGCATTGAGCGTATCGCACGGATCGCACGCGATTAATCTCGCTCGCAGGGGCTCGCGGAGAGTCCGGTTGCGGAGATCCGCAGCGCGAATCATCGCCTACGATTAGTAATCAACGGGCCAAAGTGCGGAAAAGCCGATTTTACTCGCAGCCCCTTGATCCGTATCGACAGGAAATATACCTCGAAAAAAAGTCACCCCCTGCACGCCTCGCCGGCGTATAATCCCTCTCTCTCTCTCGCCCCTCCCTCTTTCCCCTCTTCCTCTTCCTCCTCCTCCTCCTTCACCTCCTCTGATGCTCTCTTTCTCTCGTTCTCTCGCTCCATCTCTTTCTCCCTGCATCAATAATAGTCACCCGATGCGCAGGGTTTCTCAACCCGACCTTCAATAAGGTACATCGTCGAAACACAAAGCGGATCGCGAGGAGGATTATGCAAATTCGTGCACACAGCTGGCGAATAATACAGGCGATGTAATTCGCTCATTCGACGCGGCTCGCACTCGAAAAATATCGCACTCGTTGCGACCGACGCCGTTGCGACGATTATTCCCGCGCGACAGCGTCTTTCCGTTGTCACGTGTCGTCGCGTGATTACAGAGGAAATCTGATGAGGAAGGAGCGACCGAAAAACGCGAACGCGCGCGCGCGCGCACATTCATCTACCGCTCTCGGTGGGATGAACGGAGAAAAATCGGAGATTTTTCATTGCTCGCGCTTGTGTTGTGTCGCTTTACTTTGACTCCTCTCTACTTTGTCTTTCGCGGCTATTTGATTTTCAACGTGGACAGAGCACGATCAGAATGAAAGATAACGGAGCTCTATCTAATCTAGGATGGATTTTAAATATAACTATCGATTTTATTCTATTTATTACTATCACCAAAGGTATTACTCTCTATAGACTGATAGACTGATACTGTACTACCGCGCTTCGAGAATGCCTGCTGCCTGCATCTCATGGACCGTCGCGATGCGACGCGACGCGACGCGACGCGACGCGGCGACACGACGCGCGCTCATTGACAGGTCGATCGCGCGCGATGCCCGGCGGCGACGCGGCTTTTCGGCGTGCATTCGCGTGGAAATTTCGACGAAGGGTATGCGTGCATTCGGGCGTACGAGCAACGGGAATTTTGCGATATCCGAACGAGTGAACAAACAGCCGGACTCATTTTCGGATGAGCGAGCGCAGATTGTGTGCATCAGTGATATATGCATGCGTGCGTGTGTGTGTGTGTGTGTGTATCGCGGAACGAGAGGCAGGCAGGTAGAAATGCGCGATAATTGGCGCGATATGCGATAACGCTGTTGCGAATTGTCTGTGAACTCACCCCATGCGAGCACTGTCAACAAAGCCAACGGCACGGCGAGAGAACGCGGCTCCATTGGGTCAAGCGCAAGTGTCGTCGCACACAGACTCCGACGCGCGCTGCGATAAAAGGCTTCACCGAGATCCCACCTTCGCCTTGCACGACCACCACACGCGCGCAATGTCCTCCCGTCGACAGGGCGAACACATGCCACTCGTCTGTGTCGTGGGGCCTCTTTACCGTCGTTGAGCCGCGCGATAACACGACGGGTCGGCTCTCACGCCCGCGAGAAACATTTTCGTATGACAAACCCCCGTATCCAGATCCGACCGTAGAACATGGCTAACGGACGAGTGACGGGGTGACAGTGGTGCCAATGCGGCGGCGGCTGCGTCAGTGATGCCAATATGCCAATTGCCTAACGCGTACGCGATAATGGCGACCTCTCCACCGTTCTTCCACCATGTTGTGGACACGAGAATTCAAATTTAGAGACGCGAGATCATCGTCTTTCTAGCAGACAAATTAAAATCGGTGTTAATATTGAGAGTACTGATTAAAATATCTATGTAGAAGAAAGGAATGAGAAATGTGTAAAATATGCAAGTGCGACCTAATTTTACGGGAAATAAATGTTATAATTTTTTGTTACAAGTGCCGTTGTTAAGATTGCATTTCTCGCAATAATTTTCCGTGACATATTCATTTGTGAATTAATATACGAAAGAGACGAAAATAAAGGAAGAATAAATAATAAAATGTAAAGAAAAATTATGGATGATAAATTCTGTATAAGCTTTGCTCTTTAAACGCATCTCTCCTGTATGTTCATCATCATGTAATATTTTCATATATTTTTCCCTTTTCCTCTTACAATGTAGTCGTTATATAATAAAAGTAAAAGGGAAAAAAAGGAAATGGGATTCTTTCTACAACAAATTTCGATATCTTCCTCTCATGTGGTATGTGCGTATGCCTGTGTGTGCTCTGCTGTAAATATAACCTCTTATAATTGCAGCATCAGCGGCTGCGTTCAGACAACACAACGGTTGAGTAATTCGTCAACGTTATTGGTCTGAATGTAAGGATCTAACAGTAAGGGCTAATAGTTACCGAGCGCTCAGTGAGCGCTTTGTTTTCTGAAAGCAACCAATTCTTTAATTTGCTACAACCTAACCTGCAATGTATTCTCGGCTTGCGTTGAAACTCTGCGAACGCTCTTTGTACCGTGTTTTAAGTAACGTTAGACTTCAGTGTAGCACATTAAGTCATGCTACGAAAAAAAGAGACGTTGAGAAACCAACTATGGAACTCGCTTCGAAAAAATTTCCTGGTTATAAAATAATCTATTTCTTTCCCTATGTCGCTCATGTCAGTGCTGTAAATGCTGGGAAACGTAGTTTCACTTATATTACCGGCGCGGTTGTGCCTGTAATGATTGGACTTTATTTGATCAATGCTGTTTCAAATAATATAGCTGGTGCGTCAATATCTACCGGTAAGATAACACATATTAAAAATTATTTATTGCCGAATGTCCTTATCGCTCAATAAATGTTTTTCCCCCTTTTTTTATTACAGTACTTATACTATCCGCATGGCTACACTCTACCACAATCCTGTGTAACAATCTCGTCGGACTAATATATATAAATTTGGACGAAGAAAGTGTGATATTATCTTATATAAATTATTGGGGGCGGAGAATCGACTTGAAGACCAACATCCATGATGTAATTCCTTTATCAGATAATAGGCTTCGTATTACCGATCCTCTTTATAAGACAATCCTGTTTACTTCACAGAAGAAAAAGCTAAAAATAAATTTAAAACTAGGACAGATAACAGACGTCAATAATTTCAAATGTGTATTAGGAACAGCTTAATAGTTTCTATATGTATATGCTGTACATAAACATTGTATTCTTTTTATCATTTTATTTTTAAATAAAACATACTTATCATATCTACATCCACCTAAAGTGTGCATAAGCCCGATGTTCTTGACATTTTTTGTATAATTCGTGCTTTCGTCTGACCGCACCACCCTACAGCAATACACGTAGTATGTAATGCATATATTATAAATAATAATAGTGGAAATAAATTTAACTTAAAATGGTTCAATTTATAAACCTGATTTTGAGCAGTTGCTACTAGTACTCTGGCTAATGTGTCATAGAACCTTTCTTCATGTCCTTTATCGTTTGTAGCTTCTATCAACCATTTCATTGCTGTATGTTGTGCTTTTGAAGATTCAATCGGTACAGGCACCTGAAAAAATAATTGTATAATTATAAAATTTTAGTCGTTTTATTTGTATCTAGTTAATATGTCTGTTATGTATACTACCTGATATGTAATTCCACCTTTCTTAGTTGCTTTCAAATATAAAACTGGTGTGCAATTAGCGAGAGCATGGTGAAAAACCCTAACAGGATCCAATTCGATCTTTTCTTTCTCCTCCTCGTCGGTTGCCTTGTGATAACGTTGCAACTGTATCCTCTTTACATTTTCAAAAGCATAAGTTACCAGTTTCTTTGCCAATAGTTTATTTCCATTTCTCATAATGACATTTGTAAATTTCCTGCAAGTAAAAGTGATCAATGATAACGAACAATTTATTTATCGTAAAGTGCAGAAATTTGATGAGAAATAAATTGGGATGATTTCTCACATCACTTTGGGATCGTAAAAGTCGGAGCATGTGTCAGTTGCCAACGCTGGTTTGACGAGTTCATGACCGATTTTCTTCCCATCTTCGCTTTGAAGTAACTCTTCCTGCTCATCTTTCCTAAATGTTGGTTGAATATAATGCTTCGGAAAGACACTGTATTCTCTTCTGAAAATTGCAAAATTGCAACTGAAACGGAACATTTGTTTAATGTAACACACATAACAAGCAAAACATGCGTAATCGTGTGTGTTTACGGCAGAGAGAAGAAGGAGAGAGGTCACGGGCCGCTTTTAGCCGAGCCCGAGTGTGAGGCGCCCTCTGCACAACCGTGCACATGAACTACGATGCTAATGTCCATGCCTCTTTTCTGATTTCCCCCATCACGCACGCACGCATAGCCGGCTCCAGTCATAGGGCCAGAGCACAGGCTTCTGCATAACGCATAATATACAACGCATAAGAGAATCAACCAATCAGAGAAACAAAGGGCTCTCTGTTCAGATGATCTGAAGGAAGAGCTCTTGTTCGGATTTCAATTTTCAGATTAAATGCAATAAAGATAATATTTCCTCTGCTACCAGCATTGCTTCCACTATTTCCATATCACCTTCTGCGGAATATCTCTCTCAGTCATATTTGAAAAATCATGGATGTCATGATTTGTCCCTCCTCAGGACAGAAATTAAGAACTCTGATTTGTTGATTCTCTTATGCGCTGTGTATTATGCATTATGCAGAAGTCTATGCTCTGGCCCTATCCGTGTGGACCACGCGCTCGGCAATCGTCGGCGCGCCGAGCGACAGAGAGATATCAATCCCTCCTTCTCGCTCTCGTGTTCGCTCGGCGACGCGAGCGAGAATACCTCTTTCCCTCTTTCTCGCTCTCGTTCTCGCTCAGCGACGCGAGAGCGAGCGAGAGCGAGGCTAAGGTCCCTTGCACAATGCCAAGCAACAAGCAATAAGAATAAAAATAGACCAATTACAATCAAATATTACAAGAATAATCTATTGTGATTGGCCTATTTTTATTTTTATTGCCTGTTGCCGGGCATTGTGCAAGGAGCTTAATTCTTTCTGGGCTATAATCTGACAAGGGCTGCTGCCAAACTTGGGGTCACCGATTGATGACGAGCTTTGGCAGAAATGTAGTATAGGTCCAGCAAAAGCTACTGTTAACCGGAGACGATGCAACACTCAAGCATTTGGGAGAAATTTTATTCTGAGGGTGTGTAAAGCTAAGACTCCATGCATGCGGTGAGCTCCGGCAAACGGCTGCGGTGACCAATCAGAAGACAGACGCATGCCGGAGCTTGCCGCAACCGGACTTGCGCCTCCCTCCTGATTGGTCATCGCAGCATTTGCCGCAGCTCACCGCATGCATGGAGTCTTAGCTTAACACGGCTGTGAGTTCAGCAAAGATAGAAATCAAGCTAGAAAGACTGAATCTCTGTTCGATCAAAGGGTTAAAAGAGAACACGGCACAACTTGTTTCACCAGAGCCAAGTTTGCTACCGTCTGTATATAAGATTGTACGTTCATGACATCCATGATTTTTCAGATATGACTGAAAGAGGTATTCCGCAGAGGGTGATATGGAAATAGTGGAAGCAATGCTGGTAGCAGAGGAAATATTATCTTTATTGCATTTAATCTGAAAATTGAAATCCGAACAAGAGCTCTTCCTTCAGATCGTCTGAACAGAGAGCCCTTTGTTTCTCAGGCACAACACTAGACTTAATTCTCGGACTATTCCTATTGCGTGACATATTTGCGTCAGATAAATTTTCCTCTGCATTAATATCCGGAGTAACATCCGTAGGATCGATCTCCGTCCCGACAGATAAATCACTTGTATACGAGTGATCACGTGTACACCACGTGCCACCAGAATAATCAAAAGCCTGATGGACGGGCAAAAAGCTTTCGATACGAAAAGCCCAAAAAAGAAAAACTCAAATTAAAGTTCGTAATAAACCAAAAACAAAAGACTAATCGGAAAAACTCAAATGAGAAAGCCGGTAGCACCTGCAGGAGAAAAGTGATATAACACGACCGTCTGAAAACAGATGCGACCCGCACCGTAGTCGCACCGAGACCCTATATTTACTGTCCTCTATCGGTGCATTTACAAAACATATCAAATTATAGAGCTTCTACCGCATTTTCAATTACGCTAAATATTGCACGATTGTTTTTTTTTTAATTCTTCCGTGCACTTTTTTTTACATGCTAATGTGCATAATTAAATCACGCGTATAAACGTGAATAAGATAAAGAAAGAGAAACGACGACAAAGATGATGACAGATATGAGTGAAACTGAGACTGCTGAAGTTTACTTAGGAACTGAGCAGGAGGAATGGTAACCTCACAGATTTGTTTACATCAAACTAACTGTTTATGCGTTACAAATGTTCAAATGATCTCTCGAGTAATCGATACTCTCTGAAGATAGCTTATTTAATTCTCCAATTATTCGCATTAGCTTTAATATTAATGCCTGAGCAACTTCCTCCCACATATTTCACAATTTGCATCTGCAATCTGTACGAAAGACAATAAGGGTTGAGATCTCGTGCGTAAAGCTAACTATGGTATAATAAATTTCATTAGACAGCGTAAAATATAAAAATCAAAACGCAATGTTATCATTAATTTTAATGATTTCCATTTTACGATTTAACAGTATTATTCATTCTTCGTTAGCAAGGATGTGATAGATTTCACAGAGGCTATAGAAAAATTGGCAGAGGGTCTCTTGAACATTTATCAGCCTCCACTGGAACAAGTTAAGAAAGAACTCTTGGAACTAACGTAAGTGTACATAGTATTAACACAGATAATAAAAATTTTATTCTTTGACTGTTTGTTATATTTTCTTTTACAGGAGCAAACAAGAAACTGTACTTGCTCAGATGCAATCTGAGAACAAAAAGATAAATGAAACATTTGAAGATGTAGATCTAAATGATATGGTAAGGAATTTATGGTTGCATAACATTGAGAATATTTAAGTTTCCACTTATTGATGGAAAAAGACATACAAAAGAATATATGTTGTAGTTTGCTACGATTAAAGTGTATCAAGGGAAATTAGCATCAATAAGAAAAGAGATGATCAGTATTCATGAAAGAACTTCCAAGTTAAAGGTAAATCATCCAATCATTCACTCTTTGGATATAAATGTCGATGCTAATGTTTTCATTTAGATTAACAAGAAAGTGAGTTGAGTTACAGAAACGTGCGTTACGTTTGCAACAAATAAAGCAAAAGGAAGCATTAAACAAAGAGCAACAACGCGAACAAGAATTACGCAGAGAGCAAGAATTAATTGCCAGGCCTGTGACCAATTAACAGCATATAAATTTTAAAAATATAAACCAATAACTAAATAGGTAATAATATAAGTAGAAGTAATTTATATGAGAGAAAAGTATATAGACACATATACGTATGTATAAAAGATGAGATTGCTATGAGAGAATTTATATATATCCATTGCTTACAATAAAAAGTGTGGAACATATCAAAAATGTTATTCTATATATAAAAAAAGGTTATTGAATATATTCACATTTTATCACCAGACAATTTGCCATTGTCCATTTCCTGTTTTACATTTCCTGTTTTTATCCTTACACAAGCGATTGAACGTAGTTTTTGGTGAGAAACCCATAATCTCTCTATCTTCTTGTATCCTAAATGTAAAAGTAGACTCGTGCGTTCCTATAAAATACCTAACAAAATAATTTTATATAGGATTATTACATATTTATGCATATATTACATGCTGCACAAGTGTTTAAAAGGATTTTGTCTTCTTACCTGGCATGTGAACAAATTATTTGATCAATGATAGCCACTCCCCCATCCTTAAATTTATTTAATTCAAACAAAGATGGCACATATCTCACAACTTTGTGTCGTTTTAGATACCGCTTGAGTTCTTCAAATTCTGAAATTGTATGTTGTTAACCACATAAAATAGGTAACAAATATTTAAATGTACAAATTATTTTTTAATATAATCTTATTATTTACTGTAGTTCCTTACAAGTCTCTTATCCTTCATTGTCAATATTTTTGTCAAGGAAAAACCAACTAAAAAGTCTGTAGTGTAGGAATGATTTTTGTGACTTGAAATATTTGTGTAAGTCACATTTATAAGTTGTATCTTTTACCTTCTGGTGCAGCATCTGTCGCAACAAATAACACATGTAATCCGAGTTTATCCATTTTTTCTGTTAATTGAGACGCAGCATTTTCTATGGTTGGTATAGAGTCCTTGTGACCAACAATAAAATCACGTCTTCTAAGATGAACTGCCAAGTATGGACCACCCTTTACCCTTTGTTGACTCTAAAGTTACATAGATTCAATATAACTTCATTATTGACAATTAAATAATTTATACATGGTAGATTGGAGCAAGTGCAATAAATGGATCAAGTGTAAAGCAAAGTTATAGATACGCCCAAAGGAGTTGCTTCAGTAACTTGTGTGGTGAACAAAACTGTGTGTGTTAAATTAATCCAATTTCTTTTGTCGCAGATAAAAATTTAAGTATAAAATAATAATCATTTTAATTTCAATTCTTGTTTACATTCATCTTCAGCTCATTGCCTTAATGTACCTTCTCCTTGGTCCAATCTATAGGTCGTTTTATATTATCATTTTCATTCGTGGAATTTAGAAAAGTTCTCCTATACTCATTCGCAATGTTGTAGAGTTCAGAATTATAACGCATACTGCGCCTAGCTTTCCAGTATTCTCTTGATCCATATTCATCATGCAAGGCAATCTCCATATGATCAAACATTATAGATCTACAAACAGTCTCCAGCCATTAATGTCATTATATAAAAGTAAGATAGAAATAATAAAGTTATCTTATACCTATATTGCAATGGCCAAAGATTTTGATAAAGAGCAGATGCTACACCATGAAACTTCAGACATTTCACTTCCTTAGCAGTGATATTATGGTAGCCCCAAAATGGGCCGTTGTATGTTTGACGATCTACCTTGTGATATGGTAAAGCATCATGAGTACAATCTATCTCTTCGTTTTTATCTTCAAATTTACCTGTCTTGAACATTTCATCATCATTTTGCAAATTGTATACACAATCAAGTTGTAGCTTGCTCCCGGATGAATATTCTAGAATCAAACTATTATAAAGTCAAATAAACAGTTTATATTTTACATTCTCGCTATACCACACTACAGAAAGAATATATATATATATATATATATATTGATATAAAATATAGACTTAACTATAACACAGAATAATTCTCACAGATTAGATATTATGCAAAACAATTTTACAGTTAATAAAAAATAAATTATACCTTTCATAAATTGATACATTTCAATAACTGGCACATATTTTTGCAAACTTGTAATATCAAAAAAAGTATTCCATGGTATAAGTTCTTGCTGCCCTATATGTTTACTTCGCCAATGATACAAATTACCTGGGTTAAATATTATAAAAGTTAAATGTGTCTAGAGGGGGAAAAAGATCATATAAACCTTAGAAAATATATTCATAACTTTTCGATGCAAATCTTACCCCATGGTGCTAAAACCAATTGCCACTGAACTTCTTTATTTCTTTCAATCAACTTCTTCAGAAAAACTGCAATACGAATGTAAACATCTCTTCTTAAATTGAAACCCTCTGGTGGATTTACATCATAAAGAATATAACTGTAAAAGAAAGAAAAATTATGCATACTGTATTGTATATACAAACAAGCTGTAATTTTTGAGTAGCCATATTCAACAAAATAAAATGAGTCTCTCTCTAACAATTCTCTTTCTAACAACAATTCCGAACCGTTTTTGTGTAAAATAATTTTGGGTAGAACATTTCTTTAAGTTGTCAGTATATTCATCAGGTACTTCACAAAAATCAGACTCATTATCACTCGTAATGGAGGCACTTAAAATAACAATAATAATGAATGGAATCTTGAAAATAAACATTTCAATTATAAGTATGTCTTTCTTAGTTGTACAATATTATATTATATCTCGGCACTTGAGATCAACGAGCATCAAATTTCTCTCTCTCTTTTTTTCTTTCTCTTTCTCACTCTCTCTCTCTCTCTCTCTCTCTCTCCCTCTCTCTCCCTCTCTCTCCCTCTCTCTCTCTCTAAGATTACGTTGGCCTGGTGTATTATATGGAATAGAATCAAAATTGTAAACATAGAGTGTTACCCATCGAGAAAATCATGGATATTGGCTAAGTAGTTTACATTTTATGACTTTAGAGGCGCTTCTGGTATGAGATAACGAAAAGTAAACTGTAACCTCTTCTTTCTGTTTCAGTGAACAGTCGACAATTTTGCCAGTTTGTGTTATTGTCAAAATATCTTTTATTGTACGATCCAGCCTAATTCAGCAGCAATGTTTTCAGCGTATGAACACTTGTCAGCTTACGATAGACACAAGAAGCTTATAAACGATTACTTGACATTACACGGAAAATCTATATCTTCATTGAAGCGAGACACGTATGTTAAATTTTTCATTTTTTTTTTTAACGAATTTACATTTATCGGAAGGTTATTTCCGGTTATTATCGGATATTTCCTTGTATATCACATATTAAATCTGCTTTTATTTTCTACCTTCTATATGTTTTTCTAATTTTTCTTTTTCCCTTGCGATTATTAAATATACGCACGTTTCTCTAACAATATTTGGTTAAACTTTCGCAATGTATTCTGCCAATCATATCGGTGAGAAAATATTATTATACAGACATCACATATAAAATTAATAACTTGATAGATATCTGTGATGATTTCTTGTGACGATTTTGATAAGTATCGCGTGAAAATTACAACTGTATAAACTTTGAAACAAGCAGCTCCTGACATTTCGACCTGTTTCGAGGTCCCGGGACAAAACTGATTATGATGTCATTAGAGAAAATCACAAATTTCTGTGGGATCAAGACAAAGATGTAGCAGATACATGGGGTGCTAGATTGGCAAAAAAATACTATGATAAATTATTCAAGGAATATTGTATATGTGATCTTACGTATTATAAGTGTAATAAGGTATATAATATCTTCTATTGTTATATTTCTATGTTTATACAATGTCGTGTTTTATATGAAAATAAAAAAATGGTACATTTAATTGTTCTACTTGATATAATGTATATGATATATAGGTTGCTTTAAGATGGAGAACTGAAAAGGAAGTAATAGTTGGGAAAGGACAATTTGAATGTGGGAGCAAAACTTGCAAAGAAAAGGAAAGTCTTCGTTCTTGGGAACTTAACTTTGGCTATGTAGAACATGGAGAGAAGAAGAACGCTTTGGTAAAATTAAGTATGTCACAATTGAGTTAAGATTAGTTTCAGATTATAAGAAAGTACTACAAAGTAATAATGTTTCCTTTACATTCAGGGCTATGTGTAGAATGTTCTGCCAAACTTAATTACAGTTCACAAAAACGTGAAGTCAAAAGAAAAAAATGTTTGAAGCGTTTGGGTATATATGCTGACAATAACGTACCTACTACATCTAGTAATTTAGAATCAGATATGCAAACAGAACTAGATTCTAGTTTGCATGAAACAGAAACTAGCGCTGAAAATACTAATGTGGATAAGTCAAATATCTGGAAAGAAAAGCCAACAGAAGATGTGGAGAAAACAAGAGAGAAGGAATTTGAGGAGTACTTGGCAGACTTGTTTATGTGAATGCAATTGAGACTTTCAATGGTATTTATGAAGTTTTTAGAATGTTCTACATATTTATCCTTAATCTTAACACAAATTTCAAATAGTAAGCTTTTTACATTTGAAATATTTTGTTTCTCCCTTCAAAGAACTTTAAAGTTTTTGTCACGATGGGTGTGAAAGTAAAAACCTTTTCTATCATAGGTTACACGATGTGAACTTTGACAGCGATAAACCCTTATCTAGACTATTGGAGAAACAATGTTGAATCAATATATATATATATATATCTTTTCCTTACATAATATAATTTTATATAGATTGCAGAATTTATAAATTTATGTTCAAAATAAATATGAGAGAAAAAAGGATGTTTCATAATTTATTTAAAATAAAATTGTTTTTACATAAACTTGTAATATAAACTATAAATATAAGAAATTCTTTAACTCATACATATAACATATATAGTTGTATATGTAGGTTATAATTTTATATCAGGCTTCTAACATATAGCATTGGAATTTTTTTTTTTACAATGGAATATGGGTAAATTCTATGATCTTTTTATCGAATTACACACACGTGTCAGTTTGATACATACACACACACGCGCGCGCGCACAACATACACACATACATAAACACATATTTCTAGAAATTTAGAATATTTTTTTTCTTCTAATTCTGATGTGTTAAAAAACGAAATATACTTTTCGTTATCCCGTAAAGTTTATTAATATATCATGCTAATATATCATGCCACTTAATATATTTGACTTTTTTATTTTTTTTTTATTTTCTATTCTATTGCTTTGTATTTCATGTAATGGTTTACATTGTATACAAAATTAATATTGTCTTATACCTGCAGTGCAAGACTTATCCTAACGTTCTTTAATATAAGTGCAATCATTTGTTAGTAGTTACTTCTTAAATAAGAGTTAACTATATTTCATCTGCTAACTACGTGACAAACTATTTACTTTAAAGTATGCAATTATATAAGGGTATTGTTCTACATATATTAACTTACATTGTACAACAATGAACTTATCGAGTTATTATTTCTTGTATCTAGTTCAGTGTTCACTTTTCCTATTTAATAACTATACCTTCAACAAGCTTACATTGCATGTAAAAAGATTTGGCTAGTATTCAATATTATAATATATACTAAGTTTAATATCATCGATGTTTCTTAGTATATCGACACTCTTTTAATGCAATATTTAAATCTTAATAACCAGTGGAGTTAATATAAAATATGTACAGAGTACTAGTAAGGCTCTAGTATGTGTAGTATAATTCGAAAAACCTGAATATTAAAATTTTATATGAGCATTTGTGCACTCTAACTACTTATGTAACAATATTTCGCGAGACAGAGAGAGAGAGAGAGAGAGAGAGAGAGAGAGAGAGAGAGAGAGAGAGAGAGAGAGAGAGAGAGAGTGTGTGTGTGTGTGTGTGTGTGTGTGTGTGTGTGTGTGTGTGTGTGTGTGTGTGTGTGTGTGTGTGTGTGCGCGCGCGCGCGCGCGCGCGCGCGTGTAGTATACTGAGAAATTATCCATATAAATTGATACGAATATATTGCCAAACCTTGTGCCTAGACAATACATATAATAGTCTGCACCAAACATAGAAATTAAAATGTAAAATTTGGAATTAAATATTACTAGCGACATAAAAATATTCTATTGGATTGGTAGAATTTTAGACTAATTAATTTCATGAAGGAGAAGATACAACTTTCTGTAAGGACTTTGTTATACAGATGTTATACAGAAGGTATAACATTATGCCGATATAATATTATCAGCGAGATATAGCGATCTTTTCTATTAAAGGAAGAAAAAGGAAAGTTATGATTTCTGTCGTACAAAATTATGAAAATTAATTTGCTTCGGCGTGACTCGTCGTACGCTAATTACTTTAAAACACAAACCATCTTATGTAGTAGCTAAACATATGTTTCGTTCGATTCTCGTTTGTCAGTCGATTAAAATTACGCTAGACGTGACCGCGCATCAGTGACCGGGAGCAGGAGCAGGTTACTTCAGTTACAACTTGCATTTCTTGTACTCGCTGCTCTCACGTGATTAGCTTGCTTCTGCGAGTCACTGTCTTCGTCGCTGCAATCCTCGTCGTGCGTATGTGTGACGTTACGTGGCGTTTCCGGTCTGGCGTGTGGAATTTGACTGTTATAATGGTCCACGAATAAAGTCTTCTGAAAGAAGAAGGAACGTGCGCGTTTGCGTTTCCGAATGGTATTTCAAGAATAGTCTCAAGAATATATTACGCACAAGAATAAATTCCTATCTTGATAAACGAACGAATATTAACTAATCGCTACAAATACTCACAGAGGTAGGTCGATTGTGTTCTTCTTCCTCATCTGTCAATTTGAATGTCCGAGAACGACTGATCATCGGTGTTTCCATGACAAACCTCTGCTCATGAGCTACTGTACTTTCGTGGGGCATCTGGGGATATGTCGCAAGGATTATTCAACTTAATAATAATAATAATAAGATAGAAATTAGACAAATAAATCCTGTGTGAAAAGAATACCCTGTCCCTCGTGATGAACTCACCAGCATAGCAGGTGCTCGGAACATGTATGAAAAGGGATAGTAAATCAAATTCAAGAAGGTTGCCGCATACAAATCGGCATACCTTACGACCTGACTGCTGAAGAACGTTTGCCTACTTCCGCTGCGGAACAGAGAACCCATCATTCCATACGCCAAGTCCATTTTATGTGTGACATCCCTTATGGACGTGCGTAACTTGGAAATGTCTGGTTTCTCCTTTGTGCTGCTATCTAAATTTCTGAATGAGGCAATTGAATACGAAACGTTAAATAGACTAGATTGTAACGCGCAAGAGTACTTGCGGTCGGCGGTGAAACGTATGAAGACGCTTATTTCGTTTATATCGAGCCACCCCCACTCACTTGTACATTTCTCCGAGCATAACATCTAGACTCTGCAATTCAGCGAACAATTGACATTTATCTGTCCAAACGTGTAACTCCTGAACCAATTCGGGAACTATTAAGAAGGTCCTCCAGCCTCTTATCTTCTTGCTCTTTAAGATATCGCCAAATATATGATCGCCGACGTATAACACATCTTTCCCCTTGGCGCCGATTAATTCGGTGAACACATCACATGAGCCTCCCGAGTACACCTCCCCTATCATTTGAAAATATATTAATAAAAGGATAAATTGAAAGGGTAATTGATTGCCACGTACCGATCGATATAGCAATCTTGTTCGCGATAAATTCGAGTAAACCGTCTCTGTGTTTTTCGACACACACACACACACACACACATCATTTACCTGTATGCAGCGGCCCCTTGTGCGTGCCAAGTTTCAGAGCACCCGTTCTCGTGTCCACCTGTCGCAAGATCGTCCCTTCTCCAAAGAATAATGGCTTTCTGGCGTCTACTACAATCGTATCGAAGTACGTTTTCCAGTTCCTATGCGGCTCGTCAGGCTGAAAAAACGACGAGAGAAATGAAACGTGAGAGATTCTCGATAGCGTCGAGTCGTCCCGTCGATGCGACCGACATGTAACGTTAGATTTCGGCTTTCGGCTTTCGGGCGAAAAGTTTGTCGTTTTTCTGTGTCTTTTCTCTTCCTTAGTAAGAAATTATGCTCGAAACTGTGCAGTGTGCGTGCAGTCTCTCGCTCTAATCAGCCTCTCACAGAGACACGACGAATCTTTTTGCACCAACCTGACATTCGCCTGAAGATTTGATATACATCGATGATTCTTCAATTCAATCAACGTCATCAGCGCGCTCTATCCTTAAATAAAGTTAACTCTCGCGATAAACGATAAATGTTCGCTAATTCGCTCGAGGTAATAAACTTCAACAAAAGTACAAAAGCAGACAAGAAAAGTAGAGAAGAGAGAAAAGAACGTACCCGTGCGCCATGTGGAAAATCGAACAAGTAAGTCATAATTTTGTCCGTGAAAACGTAATCACTGTTAGTTAATAGAAACACCTTCGCTCCGCTCTCCCGGATTCTCGTAAGGAACATAGGCAACCTCTCGTCCTTCTTCACGTATTCGTCCAAGTTCTCGATAGTTTTCGTTTTCAGGTCACCGTGAAGGTGTATCCAGTCTACCGCGCTCCTAACGTCTTGAAATATACTCCTGAAGCTCATGGTGAGCTCACCTTCTTTCACTCCGGTCTTCTCTCTAGTGAACTGCGGCGAGTTTGTGAAAAAATCTATCAGACACGCCAGCAGATACGTTTCCGGCAGGTTGAACAATGTGTTGAGCACGTAGACTCTAGATTCGTCTAATTGTAGAAACTTGTTCGGATAGAGCTCGTAGACCTGAGAGCTGAAACGAAACGGAACACGATTTCTGCTGCTGCGCAATCGATGCGGATCCGAGCGACGGAACTCGTAACAGAAACGACGTTTATAACGCCAATGTATCGTTGCTGCTTACTGTTTCAAGAATTCAAAGCCATGAACGCAAACCAGGATGTTCCCGTACGCGTCTACTTTCAAGAGATTCCCGTACAGAGTGTCGAACCACAATCCACGAACGGGAAAACTAGGATCATATTCAAAGGCCTTGATTTCCTGCGGATATCCCAAAGACACCAGCCGATCCTTGAGCAGCGTAAAACCCAATTGTTCATACTGCGGCGATTTATACTCTGCAATGTCCGATATGTAAATCATGTCATCATAAGCGACTCTTATCTGTGTTTGTGTTATCTCTCTCTCTCTCTCTCTCTCTCTCTCTCTCTCTCTCTCTCTCTCTCTCTCTCTCTCTCTCTCTCTCTCTCTCTCTCTCTCTCTCTCTCTCTCTCTCTCTCTCTCTCTCTCTCTCTCTCTCTCTCTCTCTCTCTCTCTCTCTCTCTCTCTCTCTCTCTCTCTTTCGGTAGACCAGATACGCGCGCATGTATCGAGAAATAATAATTACCCGCCAACGTGTAATCCATATCGAAGCCATAGAACTTGATGTTCTCCAAATGGAGACTCCGATTGACGAAGATTCTGCAAAGCGAGAAGAGAATCGGTCACCAGTGCCAAGGGCTAATGCATTGATTAAGACTATTATAAAAATATTCTTTCTCTCTCTCTCTCTCTCTCTCTCTCTCTCTCTCTATCGGCGTATCGGCAAGCGATTCATCACTGCATCATTCACAATATTCGCTAGCGAGGCTCTGCTTCCGCTGGGGAGCGCGCATTTTGTCGTGCGTTACTTATTAACGACACGAGTATTTAAGGCGAGAAATGCATCTCTCGCGCGTATTCGCGCTTGAGTATGTGTCTAAAGACTACTCTCCCGTGCCGATATCGCACCGAGTCGTTGATGAAATTTACGCGCGTGTGGAAGCACATCGCCGTTATTCGCCGCCGCCGCCGACGACGCCGACGACGACGACGACGACGACGACGACGGAGATTCTGTGATGTTAATTGTTAAATAACGTTATCAACAGTGTAATTGCAGTGTAATTGTCGCGGAACATTGGTGGAACACCTAGGGAAGGAAACTCGAAAATTTACGCGACACATTCAAATTGTTGATTATCCATGTCCAAGACGGAGGATAATCAGTGACAGGGATGTGACTTACTCATTTTGGACGCATCGTCGTGAATTCGCGAAATTCGCGATTGACAAGACGTCATCGTCGTACGCGTCCCTCAGCCACATTTTCACGGTGAAACGTCAACGAATCATCGATCCGCGTTTTTTCTATTGGCCGGCGTGACGCGGAATCACCGAGAGAAATCGATTGCGGAAGAGCCCGCGCGGCGCGAGGATCAAATTCTACGACGGCCGGAAGAAAATCGTCATTACCGTCGTGATTTTATATGTACGTACACACACACACACACATTCATTCATGCGATATGCGGTAAATGTGTGCAGAGCGTGACCACAATATTTATCGAAGAAATTATCCCGAGAGAGATAAATCTCGCGTCACTAAGCCATCGATATATCGATACAGAGCTCTCACTCATCCAATAAACGCCAGTCCACGCGTTTACCAGTCTGAAACAATCGGCCGATGATTATCCTCTAATGAAATCAATTACTGACTGGCAACAATTGCCCGCACGCGCGAGTAATCTTCGAAATATTCACGACTCGCGTTGGTATATCCCCCGCCAGTTAAAAATTCTTCTCTCAGAGGAAACCATCAATCGTTCCGTCCGAACGAATCGATACGATCTAAATCCGCCCCGGCAGTGTACGCGATATGATGATTCTGTTCCAGATAACGAGATTATCGACAGATGACACGTGTGAGCAAGCTTGTGAGTATCTTTGCGCATCGAGACCCGGAGGAGCGTTCGCTCCTCTCACTGAAGCTTCCGGTAACCGTACGTTCGCCGTTCGATCCGCCGGCGATCGTCACGCGAAGAGTCGATTCGATCACACCGGTCTTGATCTTTAGTCTCAGTCGAGCGATCAGCAGCAGATTTTAGAGACAGAAACTCGCGTTATCAGCGGCTGCTTTAATTCCCACGAATGCGCGCGCGTTCCTCGAGAAAGAGAGAGAGAGGGAGAGAGAGAGAGAGAGGGGGGGAGAGGGAGAGGGAGAGAGAGAGAGAGAGAGAGAGAGAGAGGGAGGGAGAGAGAGAGAGAGAGGGAGCGAGAACGAGCGAAACGTGACGCGAGACGTGAGCGCGTGAAAGGCGTCGGAAAAACAACGATGCTATCCGCTCAATGACGGAACGTCAACTGGCCTCTGCCGGGCCGGGCCGGGCCGCGCCGAGCCGAGCCGAGCCGATTAATACGATTGGAGTTAATTCGCCGTCTTCCGGACACAAACCTCCTCGTTTGGCACGACCGCGTGCGCGACTGCGACGCGGCGCACTCACTCCCCCCTATACGTATACCTCGGTGTGCCCCGAGGTGTGCGTGGATGTGTGCACGATATTGCATTGTATCGCATTGTACGCTATCGTGCGCGCTGATAATCGTCGTATCGCCGAGCGCCGAACGTACGAAAACGAACGAGATGTACGCGCTCGCACGCGATTGCGTGCGTATCTCGCGTGCGTATGTACGCACGCGTGCACTTTCTGCTCAACTTGTGCTGTTTTCGCTGAACTTGGGAACCCGGTTCTCGCGATCGAGTGTTACATACGCGCGCCGGTTATTGAGTTATTGACGCTGCCACGAAGGACAGGTTAGAGCTGACACCTTGGGCCGCCGATCGGACCCAACAACAAGGAGGGCCCAAGGAGGGCCCAAGGAGGGACGCGGGAATCCTTCTCGTGAGAATCCGATATCCCCCGGAGGAGAAAAAGGATCGTCATCACAGTGTGCTGTTCCGTGAGAGAACCTGCACAGAGAATACATGTCCTCCACTTTCGCGCCGGTTTAGCCGCGTGCCCGATGCTACGAAATTTCGATGGAAAACTTTGGCTGGGCCTCGCGCGCGCGTTATCGTCCGCGCACACACAAACTCCAGATAAAAAGCAAGGCGCAAAAGCGACCGTGGCTGTTTTGTATTCTTCTCTTTCTCCATCGATGTTATCGAGACAAGGGGGGCAGGGGGGCAGGAGCGGGGGCAGGTGAGAGACGCAAAGTTCAAAGATACGCCGGAGATACGAGACTCCGAAATTCAAAACTCTGTTCTCGAGAATATTTTCGGCTGAGAAATGCTCGCGTATGCTCGCGATCCGTTCGATCCGTGAGACGCGAGTAACGCGTCCGTCCGGTCCAAAGTAATTAACGGTAACATAATTGGCCGCATTGGCGAGGAGCATCGCGTCGACGTCGGCGTCGGCGTCGGCGGAATAGCATCGCGTGTGTGAGAGCGAATTTTAATCGATAATAATTCGACTTGCACCGTTAACTGCATGCGCCAAACGCAACGACGCCCGCCGCCGACTTAGCGGCGGCTTAACAAGAGCGCTGTGTGCTCTTAAATTTCTCGCCGCATCTCAAACTTATCGCGTGACCAGAGCCAGTCGATCGATTTACATTTGCGTCACAAGTTATTTACATATTTCTAATTTGCCGCTAAAGCGTTCGCGTTGACGAACTCGCATTGTCACACGTCGCGGAAATCGGAGAAACTGTATCTTTCGCGTTCAGCTTGAATTCGCTTGATTTCTCCGTAATGATCAACTTTCGATGCATCTTTTATCTCTCCTCTCGTTGAAGGTGAGCTTCGCCGATAAAAATGAGTCGCGATTTCATTTCGACGATAACAAGGTCTCGGGTATCTCCACGGGGTGAAGTTTCGCGTATCGGCATCTCCAGAGTGGACAATTTCAGTCGTCGCAACGAAACAAAACGTTCGTCGGGGGGCGTCGGGCGAATTCATGATTCGGCATTCACGTGAATCGGCACGAATCAAAAGGAAATGTGCGAATTCACGGCAACATTCGCGACTGATAACCCGCTGGTGTGCCTGGTATGCCCGGCGGTGCGCGTGAGAACTTGGCCGTGTCCAGTCTAATATTAGACCTCCTCAAATCGTCCTTTCGATTCCGCGTAAACCTATACTATATAACGCGAGTGAACTTTGGGGCTTGTGTGTGTGTGTGTGTATATATATATTACGGGAATACAGAGCGCGCGTCGCGTGTGGAAACGCGAATCTCCGCGTCTATGTGACGCAACAAACCCTGTATGACGCAATAGAAGATTGTATTTGTATGACTTTGTTGCCAATGCGTAGCATTCCTAAATATATATATATATATATCTCGCACCGTGAGTCTTTGACCCGTATTCCTAGCGTGCGTTTGACGCTAAACCCGGATGTTTACATCGAATACGCACGCATACACATACATATTATTTTGGCAGAATTCGAAATGAATTCGTTTATCAACGAATGTACGCTCGACTGATAAAAAAGATTGCAACATTTTTCTCCGAATGAGTTTTGCAACGCATTTCATATTCAACCGGAAAATGGATATTTGGAGGATAACGAAAGAAAGAGAACAAAATTTCTCAAATTGAGTATAAGATTTAAATAAAGAGAGAGAGTTGCAAAACTTATCGAAGAAAATCTTTGCAACCTTCGCGATAACTGACTGTATATATATATGTATCGAGTTTTTTTTTTTTTACACAAAATCACATGAAGAGAATATGCCAACGAGAAATATCTGAAACCGAAAAATTCGTCGTTACAATCCAAGTCACGAATCACAGGTCACAGGGAGTGTCATAGCGTATACAGTAGCTCCTCCTCCCTCCCTTTCTCTCGTTTTGACGCAATTAACAAGGGACTTTGACAAGAAGTAAATTAATGACCGGAATTAGTCGCTCCTGCGTCGGAAAAGATACTTTTTGTAAGTATCTGTGAGAAATTCGCATCGAGGTGCATAAGATTCTGCGTGTAATCTTGAGAGGCGACTTAATTGTTCCAGCACAACTTCTCGAACGCGTTATCTCGCTCGACCGACTCTTAGTTGCGCTTAAGTCGGTCAAGCGCTGCACGAGAGGGAGAGAGAGGGGGGGGAGAGAGAGAGAGAGAGAGAGAGAGGATGCGTGCCACAGCATGAGTCGCACACAGCCATTTGCACTTTCACCGATTATTTATTCACTACGTCTACGCCGCTGTGTATTTAACGCGCGTTCGCCGTTCGCGTTAACCGGCGGTTTTCAGCCGGAAAACTCTTCGCACCACAAGCTACATCGCGCGTCACACTTTTGCCGCTTGCTTTTCTTATTCTTATCTTTTTCATCCGGGCGTTTGCGATTTTCGGATACGTGTAAAGACAGACGCGTCTTATGTCGCGGTTCGCGAAGCCGATTTTCCATCTTACGTTTGTTTGTTTTTTCTCTCTTTTGGAAAATTGTCGCAGTGTGTGAAACTTGCCTGAGCTCCGTGACATATGCCATTTCATCGCACGTATTTCGGTGCTCCAGGGTGATATTTTGATATGCGAACATGAATGAGAATTACGTGTAATACATAAATAGATGGATACTATGTACTATTGTGACGCGCGCGCGCGCGGAGACTCGTGTACATCGCTCGTCGAGCTGCCAGAACTTTCTGCCAGACTCGAAATAAGTAGCGCTCTGGTTACGTAAGCGACTCATCGTTACTTAGTAGATTTATCATTCAAGGATATGGTAGGAAGGAAGGAAGATAAGTACAAAGGAGCACGGCTAAGTGAGTGATTCCAGATAAGAAGCTTCCGCTCGTGAGATTCGCCAGGTATCGCTTGAAGACTCGCAATTTTCTCATCCCGGAGAAGCGCTTCGCAATTTTCATGTCCAACATCGACGTAACTCTCTTACGGTGACGCCTTTTTAGGCTCTCGCAAAGCGTAGCTCTCACTCACACCGTCTACGTCACACCGTCACCGATCGTCGTCGTCGTCGTCGTTGTCATCGCAGTCATTCGTTATCTACTTTATGAGGAAACTTGTTTGTGCTGTCCGTCGTTGCTGGAAATTTTTTATCGTTTTATCACGGCTTACTCAAACGCATCTTGACCATTCCATTCTCCGGTTCAGCTTTATTTTTTATGATGAACGCGCGATACGACAATGAGAAAAATAAGCGCGCGTTCGTTATCGCCCCATCGTAGATAATTTTCTTCCCTCTCAGCGAGAATACCGTCATGCATGCGGTAATTAAATCCCCCCCCCCTTTCTCTCTCTCGCTCCTTCTCTCTCTCTCTCTCTCTCTCTCTCTCTCTCTCTCTCTCTCTCTCTCTCTCTCTCTCTCTCTCTCTCTCTCTCTCTCAATGCGTATCCTCTTCGTGCAGTAATGAATTTTTTTCTAATTTCCCAAGTGTGCATGTACACGTTATAAAAGGCGAAGGGAAAGAGAAGAGAGATCTCCGTCGTGTCCGACGGCTGAACTCGGAGTCCGATGGATAAAATTGCGGTCGTCGCAACAACTGTCTGCGAATAGCGACAGGAACGATTACGCGCAATAGAATAATAACTATCGACGGCGACACAATGAAATTCTAGACAACGAGCGTTGCGGCACGACGAAAGCCCCTCATTATCTAATAATATTATTGAGCGCTCTAATCTATCGCGATTAGTCACGCTTGTTCCCGCGTCGCTGAACGCGACTTTGATCAGATTCGTCCGCGTGCGAGAGCAACAGCCGACATTTGCGAGACGCAAGTGCCGTTCGAAATTGTGCTCATTAACGAGCAACCTGCGGTACCGTTGGGCGTGAGAGCAACAGCACGCCAAGTGGAAAAAAGGAAAAGAAAAATGAGGGAAAGAAAGATTCAATTCGCTTCGACGTGCTCGGGCGTTTCCTCGCGCGCGAAGAAAAAAGTTTGGTCGAATAACATAACAGATATATGAATGAACAGACTAAACGCATTTCAGTTGAAAGAAGAAGAAACAAAACAGGATTTCCGACTCGATGAAGCAAATCCGGTTCTAAGAAGCAGACGTCGTTGTATTTCCTTCGACTAAATCGCACTTTTAACTGGTTCTCAGTGTGTGCCACGTTGATTCAAACCATCTTCTTGTTCACGTGCGCATTATTTCTCAGAGTTGAGCGATGATGAGCGGACGCGAGTCGCACGGATATTCTTCGTA